AAATATATTAATCATATTTGTGACTGTAATATGTGTATAAATCTTTAAAACAGAAAATACACCAAATAATCAACAGTAAATATGATTGTTTTCTTTTATAAAACACAGTATATAAATGGAAGATCTTATATAATCTTTCCATTCAAAATGATGATATATACAAAAATTTATTTTATACTTAATTAATTTTGTTATGGAATCTGATTTTCTCAGAATTAGTTTATCATATGTAGCCTATTACATCTTCTATTTCATTTTTGTAACTTACACATAAAATATACTATTATCTTAACTGTAAACCTTTACAATGGTTTTTAGGCATTTCACTTGTTTTTGATTTTATAAACAATACCCTTGACTTCTTGCTAATTTCAATATTTAAATTTATTATTTATCAAACATAGCTTTCCTGAAATAGAGAATTTGTTTCCTGGTTATCAGTGACTTTGAGAGATCCAGTCATACAGTACTCTATTTCTGTCCATGTCTTCTGCAACATCTTATCTGTGTTGGTTGCAAAAGTTTCAATTATTCTTCCCTTCAGTGTTCATCTGTAATTGGTTTCACATAAACTTTATCCTTAATGTATCTCCCTGAGGGGCCTTGGTGGCCAGGGTATGAGACCATCTCTGCTAATCCATCTGTTAATTCTTCATGTGAGAAGTGATGAATGGGATGCACCATCCTACTGGAAAATTACTCATAGTTGAAGCTCTTTCAATTGATGTGTAACTTGTCCAGATAAACACACAATATAACAGTGGACTCATGAGGGGAAAAAGGTCCAATTACTTGCAGCATCTTCTATGGTTTCAAAAGTAAATGATGATAAAAACTTGATAATGCGGCTCACTAAATGAAACAAACTTTTAATCAGGGAAAGATTTTTGACACACCATATATTTTAGATATTGAAAAATGTTTATGTAATTGGATAAAAACATTTTAAAGTAATATTAATTCTAATATAGGCCTAATATGTAATTAGTGGTGCATTATAGCTTCATGGTGCCCCATATACTGTAGTGTTGACTTCAGATATTTTTCTGTGAAGGAATTTTTTTGGGGGAAAATATTTTTTTTTATAAAAGATCAGTTTGGAACCCCATGCAATTGGTTTTTGTTCATAGGTTAACATGCCATTTTATGTGATATAAATAAAATAAAATACATATTTCTATTTTCATGATCAGAATTTCAAACTAAGGATTTTAATTTGGAAGCTTTTTCTCTTGTGAAATTGACATTTCCCAATAGAATTCCTACTGTTGAATATTATAATCAGGTATAAAAATATGCTATGTTCTATTGGACTTGTCCTTTAGGTAGAAAATCAATAAATACTATATCTACTTGTATATCAATATTCATTTTCATTTGTCCTATTTTGGCCCCAAAAGATATTCCTTATCCAATAATGTAAACCTATCCATTTTTGATTGGTAGATATGAATAAGAAATGTTTTAAAAATATAGTGTGTAAATTATTTATATTAATTCTGTACCAACTTTCAATTTTGCTTGGGTATCCATGAATTCTGAGATGCTGTAGAAAATGGAAAGAGAGGAAATCATTAAAGTTGGAGGAGATTTAAATGGCCCTGTAGAGGAGAGTTTAAGGAGTAGAGAGAGTACATGTAGGAATGGGATATGGAAAACGAAATAAGAAGAAAATAATAGGAATATCAGAAGCACGACTTAAAAATTGTGAACATGGTTTACCAAGAGTGGCGACATGTAATAGAGATGTTTAAAGCCATGAGTCCAGGTGGGAGGAAGTGGATTTTTGACAAAATGAAAAGATCATGGACAGAAGAAAAAGTAGTGATACTGTATCAATCTTTAAACAAAAAGACCTATTAATGCATGGTAACTACAGAGTGAAAAAACTCCCGGAACATTTAAGATTTTTGAAAAGATTGGAGAAGGTAGATTGAGGAAGATGATAGAAATTGATGAGTAGTAGTTTGGCTTTGTGAAAGGCAGAGGAAAAATTGATGCACTTTTTGTGACAAGGCAAATTCAGGAGAAATGGCTAGAAGGAAATAATCAAGTATATTTTGCCTTTTTAGATTTGGAGATAGAGTGCCTAAGGAGATGGTGTAATGGTATCTAAAGCTAGTCAGGAGATAATCAAGGAAATGTACTGTATGAAGATACAAAGACTACAATAATAACTCTAAGGGGCAGATCAGAGGAATTTGAAGTGGAGGTGGGATGACATCTGAGGTCAACACTCAGTCTACTACTGTTTATAATAGTGATGGATGAACTGACTTGTCACTTAAGAAGGAAGTAGTTATGGGAACTGTTGTATTCAGATGACCTTATGTTAATAACAGAGTGAGGAAGACTTACAAGAACATTTGTTAGAGTGGCAAAATTGTCTACACAAAGTTGGAATCAAAATGAATGTAGGCAAGACTGATGTCATGGCAAATGGTAAAGGGGAAGAAAGATGTCTTACAGTGAGAGACAGAAATGACTTAGAAATTAAACAAGTAACAAATGCAAAGTACCTAGGAGATATAATAGATGCAAAGCGAGGATACCATTTTGAGATTAAAAGCACGATAAGTAAGGCATGGTTGAAATGGAAAGAGTAAGCAGGTGTGATATGTAATCATAAATTCCCCATGAAACTAAAAATAAAAATTTGAGACTATGATTAGACCAGTTCTCCAGAGACATGAACCTTAAAAAAGACTGAGATGATGATGATAACAGAGATAAGAATGTTTAAGGTGATTGGCTGAAATCTTACAGAGAAAAGGAGGATTGAGGATATTAGAAGAGAGCTGGGAGTTGTAGGTGTCCTAGACAAAAGAGCAAAATTGAGACTGAGATGGTTTGAACACGTCCTAAGAAAGGAATGCAAGATATAATATGAAGGGCATGGGATTTAGGTGTGGAGGGAAAAAGAAACAGAGGCAGGCAACAAAGGAGGTAGAGAGACAGTGAGTTGAGAGGATATGAGAAAGGCTGGATTGAAGACAGAAGTAAATAAGATCCAGCAAGCCTGTTTAATTGTGAAAAAATAAATGAACAGATTCAAATTGACTCACAGACTTGAACAATTCTTCTACTATAATGGCATTTGGTCCCAGTTCAGGGACCAAATGCCATCAAAGTAGAAGAAAAATTCTGAACCGAAATATGTTAATAGCAATAATTATTATTATTATTATTGGAAAAATCAGAAAATATGTTCTCAAATAATCTTCAAAGACTTTTTTTTAAATGTCATCTTGCCACTCACTTCCTTTATGTAGCCTTATGGCATGTAACATCTACGTATCATGCACTAGAAATGCAAAAATTTGATTAAATATATTTCTTCTAATTCTAAAATTTCTCATGAAAAATGTAATTTATGTAAAAATTCTGCTATAAAAAATTATCAAAACTAAATATCATGACAAGTTAAATAATTTTGAATGAAATGTTTGTCTTTCCTCTGTGAAAACTTTTTATTCTTAAAACTTGTATAACTATCAATTTAACTAGTTAAAGAATGAGTATAATATTTTAGCTGAATACCATATGCACTCTATTAGACCCACAGGCTGGGAAAACCCACATGTAGGTTTATTCAAACAACATTTTCTAAGCAACAGATACTGCAAACAACCTATTCAAAATTGTAATTATGTAAATAATTGCATCACATTTCTTGTTGTCTTTGCTTTTTTGGAAATATTTTTTGGTTTTCATTTAATGACTCCTGTAGCCACTGGCATCAACATTTACAAAAATTTTGAAAAAATAAACGAACAGATTCAAATTGACTCACAGGCTTGAATAAACACACACTACAAATAAATTTAAAGAACATGATGGGTTCATTTGAGTACATATGTTACATAACATTGTAAAAGATGTGTTTATCATCATATTAAAAGGACGTACCAAATGTTTAACTCCAAGTACAGTAATTGAAAAATGATTAAATCTTAACTTGAGAGCAATTATAATGAAATGTTTTCTATAGCTTGGCAATTGGTATGATAAGGAAAGCAGCACAGAAATTTTAAGTGTTTAACTGAAAATTTAGTGTGTACAAGTGAAAAGTATAAAAATCATTAGAAAGTAAATGAAGACAACTTTGATAAACTTTTTAAATTTATTCAAGGACAATCATTACAGAAATAGATTTACAAATAATTTTCACATTTGAAGGCTTTCAGTTACATGAATTTTTTATATACTGGCTGACTAAACAAACATGGCACTAGAAATAAACATCAGTTCCGAAATTTAAAAATCAGCAGAAAAAAGCAAAGTTAAAATAAAAAGTCTACGTTGATTTGTTATTAAATACTTTGCATTTTATATATTTATAGTGGTATTTTATAAGTTAAATTTTTATATTGAATATTTTAATTAGTGATTTTTGATAAGTTTTTAACCATTTTTAACAAAATATTCTTTGAGGTAGCTCAGTAAATAACATATTAATATACATATTTTTATTTTGAGTTTCTTCCCCCTTTTTTATTTCTTCAATAAAATCAGTTTACATGAGATGGAAGACTAAACTGAAATTAATATATATATATAATATTTATTTATATATAATATATTTTTGTAGTTTAAAACTCTAAAAATCACAAGAGATAACTTTGCTGTACTTAAAATTTAATTTAATTCTTTATATTTATTAATGCATCCTTGACTAATAAATAGGTAGAAATATTTTTCTATTATGAATTGGTCTTAGACAGTTTTATATATTAGTCACACACCATAAAAGGTTTGGGATTTATTTTTTGTTCCTACATTACTGTTAGCTATACAGTACAAGGTGTTGATACAAATTTTACATAAACAAATTAAGAAATGACAAATTATGTTTGGTAGAAAAATTTCTGGCTTCCAAATTATGTCTGTCATGTATACATTTATTAAAAAAAGTTGTATAAAAATTCCTTGGCTGCAATTAATATTTCAGTTTTCAAAAGTTTTGATTATATCATGCAGATGCAGATAAAATGTCTTTGTTTTTTTTTATATAATAAAATTTAAGAAAGGCACAAAAATGGTATCAGTGCTTTAACTTTCACTGAAATTTTTCCAAAGAATTAATTGCCAGTTTTTTGTTTTTATATATTTGCTTTCAGTTTTGCCAGACAAGATGAGGCAAAAACTTAAAAACTTGTTCGAAGTGTTCGGCATTGCTGTCGAGAATTTAACGTAGTTCTGCTCTGCCAATGGAAAATATATGGCACATTGCTGTGGCTAGATTCTGAGAAACTGATAGTTGTCAAGCTACCAGTCTTGCTGCCAGTTCTGCTTCACTCTACTTGAATGAATAAATAAGATATAGCAGCTTGATAAATAGATACCTTCCACATATAATTGTATTACATAGATGCTGTTACATTCTAAAAAGAAAAAAATTTTCTTAGTTTTAACATTCAGAATAATAATAATGGATATTTAAAAACTAAAGTAAAATTTAAGCATTTGAATTAATTGGAAATAAAAATGCAATGAAAAAGGTTTTTAAGTATTAAGATATAATCCAAATAGAAAAAAAATATAATAAATACAACTAACCTGATAATTATTTTAAATACCTAACAGCTGGATTCATTATAGAATTCAGCTGCTCATTAGATATTGGGAAAAAATATATATTTTTCTTGATAATTTTTAAGAAATCATTAAATTCTAATTTATAGCACATCCAAAGTTACCAATTTCAACAAGCTACATTAATTTAGATAATTATCAATTGAACTGGCACAAAATATTCTGATCTGCTTATTTGTATATATTAAGAATCATGAAACGAATACATACTTGTGATAATGCTTGTTCACTATCTGTGGAAGAAATGAATTCTGCTTCACCAACTTCTAATAATAAAGAATCACTAGAAAGTAAACTATCACTTCTTTCAGCTTTTTTATGGTGTTTTATATGTTCTGTGTCAGGAGGGCTATCTCCTGCTAAACTAACATCAGTGCAAAATCCACTTTCTAGAAAAAAATTTATTTATATTTGTTAAATTATTATGTAAACTTTTAAAAAAGTTACTAAGTAGTTAAATAAGCCATTAATAAAATAACTAAATCAAACAATAAAATTTAATTTATCGATTACTAACCTGTAGAACATTGAGACTGTTGGGTCAAAGACCTATGAAGTGGACGAGGACTATCTCCTGGTTCAAATCCTAAATTAAGTGCACCATAAAAAGGTAGAGATGACTGACTACTTCCAGAAGAGGAGGAACTACTGACAGATATAATTGAATGTGGTCTTTTATTTCGCAGTTGATCAAATGATGATACTGCTATTGAATTTCTGAATCGATGGTCTGAATATAAAAATTCATTAATTTATAAATTGGTATATTATATTTAAGTCTTTTAAATAAAATATTTTTTACATTTCAAACAACAAATCCTACTTGGAATTCTATCTACTAATAATTCCACAATTACTCACTTTTTACTAGTTGTTGAATATTAACAGATCTATCATTAATTTGATCTTCACTAGGTTTTATATCTAAACATGGTTTATTTCCTATTCCCATAGATGACATCTCGGCTAGGCGCAATTCTACATTTTAAATGAATTACATTTAATAATAGTTATATTTTGAATTTTACTGATAATTCTTCAAAGTTCTATGATATACCTCTGTTTCGTAAGGCCTGTTTCCAAAGTAGTTTTGATATCTCTTGGGACCATGCTATCTTTATTTCTGCTGTTGGTGCTTGAAGAATATATACATCATTCAATTTTCTCTTTCTAAACCATATTTCAAATTTAGTAGGACTATCACCAATTTGTTCTGTTAAGCCTATATCAGTTGTCTAGAAAAATTAATTTATTAAATTTTATAATTTCGACAATTTTAATAAAACATTTACCAATTACTTTATCCCATACCTTAATACTATGTTTGTATTGATATATTTCATGACCTTTCCTCTCAGGATCACGACGAGTTTTACTGAAAAGGATTAAATCCTCAAACAAAAATACACGCCGCAATGATTTCCTTGATCTTCCTTGCCAAACTAGAAATTCGTCTTGTCTTAATAATTGTCCTTGTTCTTTTACATTAACCTATAAAATATTTTTCATTAATAATTATTTTACAATGATTATATTTTTTAAACAATTGATAAAAACTAACATCGCAGTCTCGAAGTGCATCCATTGCAAGAAGATCATTTCCATGTCTTAACTGGAAACGTACTAATTCTTCTGCAGCCTGAAATAGAAAATATATCACCGTAGTTCTTGCTAAAGTATAATATTTATAAATTTATAGATTATATAATTCATTCTACAAGCAATTATACAAAACACTTTTGAAGCAATATACAAATTTTACCTTCAAATCTTGATATTCTGCATCTCGTTCAGGACATTCTTTTAATAATTGTTTTAATAATAAAGCATATTTTCCCATTCTTTGAACTGGCTTTAATAAATAACTGGCTAAATCCATTTTATCACCCAGTTCCAGTTGTTTTTTCTAACAACGTAACAACAACATTAATCTCTTTAAAATATATATTTTAAAATTTTAAAATCCACTACTCACCCTAAAAAACTGTGTTCCATATTCAGACATTAAGGCATCAGATTTTGGTTTGTTTTTATTATATAAAGCATAAAGATTGAGTTTTGGTTCCTGAAATAAATCAAAAAATTATTTTAAATATTTTTATTGTATGCATGTTTAAAATCTATAACACGCATAACCTACATAACGTAGAAAACACTGTCCCACACTGAATGGTATATTTTCACTCTGTGTAAGTTCTTGAAGGAAATACTGATTATGAAATTCATATATTTTTTCTATATTGCTGAAAATGGTGTTTCTGTGTCCTCGAAGTGCTTGAGGAATATCCTCTCGGGAAAGTTCGGGGATGTAATTCTATTTAATAATAATAAATATAATTTAAGTGACACTACAGAAAGGTCGCAAAGCGTTAATCCTACTATATGCAAAATAACAAAATAGATCAATGTCAAATTAATTTTTTTCTATTAAATACCATCCATCACGGTAACTCTATTGTCGTATTTTATCTGATGATAATTCTCGAACAATAGGAGGTATAAAAATTACAAGTGGATGAGACACGACAAGAGTCTAGTAGTGAAATAAATCGCACACGATTGAAAGGCTGATTTATATGTCGAGAGATTCTCGTTTTGATGCCAAGGGGATTAGCAAAAACCAATAAAATATGAACTGGAATTAAACTAACGGCAACCTCTTAAAGTAAGTGGAAGCTACAAAATCTATTAAAAAGTTTCAACGTGATTTCAATACAAAAATATTGCACACGAATTAAACAGCTACAATGTTTTTTTTTAATCTCTTGAAGCACATAAATTCTTTGTAATTCTACAAATAATATTTATATCATTCGAGAAGTAAATGTGACCACACTTCTTTAGAAATTTTTAAGAAATTTAATGATTTTTTTCTAAAATTACACCACAAGTAATTAAATAAATANTTTAGTTTAATGTTTATTATAATTAGTTTAATGTTTAAAATAATTAATGAGTAAATGAAAAAAACTAAAGTATTAATGATGCATGCTTTTGAGATAAAATGCATTGCACAATTTATAAATTTAAATTAATAATTATCTCATTGACAAGAGTATGTTGATGATGATAAATTGAATCAAAGCTTACTTTTTCAGGTAAATCTGAGCATAAAATGAAAAACTTGTAAACATAAGCTATATTTAAATTGGGGATGCAACATCATAAACACCTTTCTGGTGTTTATGGTGTTGCAGCATCCCCTTGATGGCAAATTAATCAATTTTATTACTTTAAAATAAAAATAAATGTAACAACACACACATCTTATAGTGATCTTATTCAAACAAAAACAAGCAGAAAAGTTTAAACTGATATTTCTCAGAAACACGTGTTGAAAAATGTGGAGCACAGGCTAAAGATAAATAAATATTAATTAAAATTTCAATAATTTCTGATTAAAATAATAAGTATAATTTTATACTTTTCTATTCTGCCTTTTAGAATCACAACAAATATAAATCATATTGTAATTTGCATAATTTGAATCAATCTATCAATTCAAAATTATCAATTATCTATTTTTGTCTTCCATTTTACACTTTTAAAAAACTAATAAAAAAGAATGATGATAAAAAGTTAGGCAACTAAAGTAATTCTAAAGAATTGTGTAACATTCTCTGAAAGACAACACAGGCACATGCCTTAGTATCCCAAATCTGTCAAAAACCTGATATGCCACTATTTAAATTAATTCATTCATACTGAAAAAATTTAATGCAATGTAATTTGATCTATGGTATAAAAATTAGATATTTTTGTCAATAGAATCCATTATTATTTCATAAATTTATTGCTGTTATTTATATTACATAAAAAATGTTTAATAATTTGAAACTAAATAAAATGCTTCTCTTCATTTTCTGTATGAACTGTATTACATATATTTATGTCAAAGTTAAATAAAAAGAATATTGTAATGACTAGAAATTTTGTTTACAGAATTAAACACCAAAAAGAAATAGTGAAAAAAGGAAGTAATTAGCAAGAATTATTTTATTGCACAGTATCACTTCCAGTGCTAATTTTCTGACTCTAAAAAGATAAAATTTTTATATGGACATATGCTATCATGAAGAATCAGATTACACTAAAGTTAACTAGCTTTCAACATTTTTCAGGTGTTTTTATGATTTAAAACAAATCTCTTTTGTAATAAATGATGACTATATTATCAAAGAATTAATTATCGATGTCACAAATTTATCTCATTAATCTAGAATTTTTTTTCTATCTTGTGTAAAAAAATTATTTTTTGTGATTCAGCTCTATTATCAACTTTATTTAAATCATTTTTTAAATTACAACCATTGTAACATTTCAATATTTATATATGCTTATTTAAATTCTATTACTTTTTATTTTTAATATTTATAGGTTCTTATTTTTAAATGAAAATTAAATCTGTATTTCCTAGAAAATTGGTGTGGCTTCAAGATTAGTTAATATTATCAACATTAAAAATACCACTTTAAAATATTTAAGGTTTTTTAAATATATATAACTGTATTTTTAATAATAATAATAATTCTGTTCTTGAAAATTTTGCTTTAGACACATCAAATTTTTCTTTTTTTGTTCTAGCATTATTTATTGTGTAAAATTTTATTTGATAACATAATTTAAATTATAATAAATTATGTCATTAATCATATAACACAGATGATGTCATCAATTGATTCATCTGGAGTTTTCTTCAATTATTATACAAATGTATGAAATCTCTTTTTCCACAAATCATTGATAGAAATTATAGTAGTTAAAAAATACAATAATATCTCATTTTTCATAAAGAACAATTACAAATTTTTGGGAAATTGGGTTACTATGTTAAAGCTCTTGTTGTAATACTCTCTCTTATAACAATGAAAAGAAAATAATCTCATTTTTTAAATTTCAGAAGTATTTTCCTAAATTAACTCAGAGCTATTTATATTATTAAATGTATAGTAAAAGAAAAACTCTTAATCATTCTAAAATAGTTAAGAGCCTTGAAAGAGAAATTTCTTTTTAATTGCCTTATTTTTCATTATGTAAAAAATTATCAATTCTTATAAATGAAATCTTTTTTAACATCCACATATGTAATTTTATACTTTTATTTGTTAAAATTAAATATGTTTTTTATATGTAGGCCTATACAAACAAAACTAAATATCTTAACAGTTAACTAATTATATTTTTTGAATTAAGATATTTAGTTCTGTTTGTAATTATACAAGTAAATATTTTTTCTTTTCCTTTCATATATACTGTATACACAAAACCAAAGCAATGATTGTAATTCTTTACAATTAGTAACTGTTTTTTTTACAATTTTGTATATCATGACTTTATCAGAAGGAGAAATGAATGATTCATTTCTCAGAAATATGAACAGGATATAACGTGTAAACTATAACAACTTCTGACAATTGGAATTACAGATGAGTCAGTGTTGTATATAAGGAAATGTACTGTACACTGGACTAATATTGAATGTGTGTGAAACCTCATTTTTTACCAAAAAAACATTTAGATTTCAAATAGCTTGAACTAATATAATAATAATGAATTGTTAGAATGAGTCATATAAAACAACAAATAAAAAGACAACATTATTAAACAAAGTGGAAAACAAATAATTAAAAATTTAACTAGTTTTGGAACAATATTGAGAAAAGAATAGTTATTTCATCTTTTGGTGACTCAAATTCCATAGTATCCTGTATGGTTATTACACACAATCATCCTTAGAGCTGTGTCTATATCATATATATGTCGTAGGTGACTTGGAAAATCTGGATCATTGTAAAAAGTGCCATCATTTTACAATGAGCTTGGCAAATTGGAAAATAATTTTCTATTTGCTATTCAGCCTGACATTTCTTAGGCATTTTGCAATCAGCCCACAGAACATTTAAGCAATTAAGAAAGCAAACTTCAGTTTGTTCAATTAGCCTGATCGATTCTAGGCTTACTGTAATGCAGTGGCATGCCGTTCATGAAAGCTGTGGAAGTGTCGCTTTCCTTGTATTTTCTAAAATATAAATACATATTGTGCAATTATTTTCATGAACAAGTTCTTATATCTTTGTTTCATGTCAAAAATAAAGTTTGTATCTATTTTAGAATTAAAATAAACATTGTCATTCCCAGTATTTCTTTATAATTTTTATGGAAACACAGCTTCCCTATTATCAAATGTCACTTCATGCAATTGTTGTAATATGACTTCTCTGCAGTGCTAGAGTGCATAATGTCTCTTTCCCCTTTTTGCATTAGTAAAATTGGTCATGTCTTCAAACACCACTTGAAAACAAGGTTTTGCCCAGGTTGTTACTGTGCGTATAATGGTTACAGTTGCTTTTTTGAGTTAACATTTAGTAGAATTTAAATAATTACATCTCATTTTGTGTGTGTGTCATGTTTGTATTTAGAGTGACTAAGAAATGAAAATGAATATTTCTTGGAGAAGAAAATATATGGGACAATGATACTATAAATGCCTCCAAAGAAGAAATGTGCTATGTGAAATTGAAATTTAATTAATGAAAAAATGAAAGAATACAGTAGTAAGAATAACAACATAATTAAAAATTCTTAAATAACTTTAAGTGTAAATGAAGCAGTCTGTGAAATTTTAGATTCAAGAAACCCTGACAAGAAGAAAAGTAGCAAGCAGTATGGACTAATTAGGAATTATGATGCAATAGAGGTCAGGAAAAAGTGAGTTCTAGTTAAGAAAAAAAAGAACATTGATAATCCTATTGTGATAATTCTTCCTATTGAGGAATACTGTATTTTGATATATTACTTGAATATCATCACTCAACAGGTCATGGAGGTCATGAAAAAATGTCATTTTCTCTGAAAAATATTTTATATCCATAACAATATCTTCCAACCTAATCACCGGTGTTAATGAACACACTCAACAAACCTTTATGTCCGATAACATTTAAAATTTGTGAAACGAATGCTTTTGGCCTCACTCGAAGTCTGCTTCAGGTTAAATTGAGAAGGAATTCCAAACTTAGAATGCCTTGTATCGAATGATTTGAAATGATAAATTTTAAAATAAAATTGGAACATGGTTATTAACCATGTTTATCAGTTGCAAGAGCATGCCATAGTTTTATCCCAAGACCAACTATTGAGGTATTTGTATCGCTACGTAAAATGTGCAATTTGAAAAAGTCTTAGCATCACAAAAACATCATCATACAACTAAGTTGATTTGATTGATTTTCAATCTACTATTTATAGAAATGACAAATGGTTGATGAACTGTCAAGATCATGACACAAAATTTTGTTTTTTTTTTGCCCTTTGAAAACAAACATGCAGTGGAACTGCTGAAAATATTTTTAGACCTTGATGCACTTTATATTTTGCAGAATAACAACGGAAGAGAGTTCACAGGTAATGTCACTGAGCAACTGTCAATTATATGGCCTAAATGTAAAATAGTGCACGGAAGACCCTGACATCCACAATCCCAGGGGAGCATATAGCAATGCAATTGGGATGTTGAAAATGTTACGTGTGTGGATGAATGATACTGGTAGTACAGACCTGTCTTCAGCATATTACAATATGCCTAGAAGTGATCAGGCTAATTGAACAAACTGAAGTTCACTTTCTTAATTGCCTAAAGCTCTTTGGGTTAATTGCAAAATGCCTAAAAAATGTCAGGCTGAATAGTAAATAGATGATGATTTTACAGTTTGCCACGCTAATTGTAAAATGACAGCACTCTTTACAATGAGCCAGATTTTCCAATTTGCCTATGACATATATATACCAAATAATATTGTATGTCTATTGTATGTAAGATAATTTCATTCTGTTATTCAAATAATTAAGATAAGACTTTCCATAATAAATATCTTTTATTGTAATTATAATTACATTAATTCATATTATTTTCAGTAAATTTTGTATCTTGCTTTCAAAACCTTTCAATGAAAAAGCTTATTTATTGATATTGCATTCTAAAAAATATCTTAAGATTCAAAATTATTGTATTTACACCTTTTACTACTATTAAATAGTATGTTACTAAATATTGCTGTTATCATAATTTAGAATTTTCATTTACAGATAATTAATATATTGTTTTTTTCATTAAATATTTAAAATTTCCTTATGAAATCCATTCAAACCATCAATAAATAAAATGTTATTTCTAAATGTAAATGAATCTATATCAATGAAATGTAAAATAGTAAAAATCAAATTTATACATTTATTATAGGATATTTTGATAAAATAAACTGGAATACAGAAATTAAAAACTTCATTATTATTGAAGTGTGATTATTTTTTCATGTATTTTATTTCACTAAAAAAAAGTAAATCATCATTTAAATATATCTGTCCATTATTTCAGAAATAGATATTTTAATAATTTTATATTATTATTTATAATAATCTTTATAAACATAAAGAATTTTTTCCATGTAAAGAAAAATATAAAATTTTAGTTTACAATTCAAGAACTTTTACCATTTCTAATACTTATTCATTATTAATTATCATAAAGTTATGATTTTTAAACTTCATTTTTTATTGACAAAAATTATAGTTTATAATAATCTATTGAAAAAAATCCTTATATGAGAATAGCAAGTAGTTAGGTTTGATAAATTACATTCTTAAACTATAATTCCTATAACTGCTTGTTTTTTCTTTCTTTGTTGAAAACTTTTCTGAACCCTTTTTGCTATTTATTTGTCCTTATTTTACTGACACATTTCATCTACACACAGTTCATTGTTTAATGATAAATGAATAGTCTAAAACTTGATTTTAGTACCTGAAATACTTATATTTGTTTAAAAAGAATCATTTGTATTAGACTATTCTGATTTCCTTATACTCAAATTTTTCATTAAAGTAAAAGTTCTGAGATTCCATTATTTAATAATTTTTATCCTTTCTATTGTTTTTTTATTAGAAACTATTATATAAGTGATGTCTTCTCTTGTATTAAAAAAATAAACACAAATAAGTCTTCTTCCAGGGGTCTAATCTGATCGTATGCAATTTTTCCAAAAGTGCTTAATAAATTAAATTATGTAATCAGATTCAGGAAAAACTGCTCGAAAACATAAAATAAAATGGAAAAATAATTTATTAAATTGTTTAGTTGCATGGTTCAGAAAACATTCACAATTCTTTTACATGTACTTTTTTTTAGATCTTATAACAATATTTATTATTTCAAACTTATAATACATTTTGAATAAGAAAGTACTTACTTTTATTTTTATTATATCTTTTATAGTAAATTATATATGCAATTTCTATGACATTAACAATAATAAAGAAAGAAATATAGCATATGTAAAATATGATAATTTTACTTTAAAAAAATAACTCTTTTACAAATCACTAAACGTTTTAAATTCTTTCCACCCTGTGGGTTTAAAGAAAGCATTTTCTTATCATAACTTTAATGATAAGATTTGCAATGAGATGAATAGCAAAACAGTATTCAACATATATGAATAAATCCATCTGAAAAATTTGAAACATCCATTAAGTTTTCTTTCAATCTTCTCTTTTAATACCTGTCTGATTCATTTACATACATGTGAATGTACAGTTATTATAAAAAAAATAGAATAACTAATAAATTTTATAAATATGTATAAGAATAGAAATGAACAATTTATAAATAATATTCATTAACTGTTGCATTATTTTAAATTTCTCATTAATACATATATAAACTCAAAGCCCAATGTTATTAATCAGGCTTTGAGTTTACATATGTATTAATAAGAAATGATAAATGATCATTGTAATAAATCAGGCTGTTTTTCAGCTACTATTAATAATTAAATTCTACGTAATTTGGTACTAGCGGTAGGTGTTAGGTGCCATCTCTTATTAAATTTAATAATTATAATTAAATTAATATTTATTAAATAATTTAGAATATTCTGGAAGAAAAGAATCAGCCTGGAGTGGGACTCGAACTCACAACTCGCACTTACCGCGCAGATGTGTTACAATTAATTTCTCATTAATTACAAAAAGAAAAATAGTTATTTTACCAATAAACTTATTATTTTATACAATATGAAGTTTTAGTTTATTATATCTATGGCTTGAAAGAATAATACTGTAATTATTTAAAAGAGGAAAAGCATTATAAAATGTTCAGAACTAATTAATCCTTATTTTTAATAAAATATTAAAAGTTTTATTCACAAGAAAAAATGTATATAAAAACATACTTTTTAGTTTTGATCTGATCTTCATTGATCTGTCCATCCGTAACACTTGCATCTTGTAGTTCCAAACTAGATGCTCTTGTAAGTAAGTGACTATTAACAGGAACTGGTCCCTTTAGAGGATCAGACTGTGTATGTGTCAGTGGCATCCTAGAACAATTTTCACTGATTCTAGAATCATCATTTTCAGGGATGCTAAAAAAATAACTTTCATTTAATGATAGCAATTTTATATTTTAAATATTCCATAAAGTTTTAATGAAAGCTTTCTAAACATATAACATGAATTTTTAACTTCAATTTAAATATTTTACAATCAATATTAATTTTACACAATGCATCTACTAATTTTTTAACTCAATTTTTTTTATAGAGATACACCATCTCTTAGTTGCCAACAGATTTTGTTATATGTACAATTTTGCAAAGATCAGTAAAGTTGTTTTTGTGCCATGCAAGAGCTCTCCTCATGGATGGATGTATGGAGCAACAACTGGCAATAAAGTTCTGCTGTAAAACTGTGACACAAACAGTTGAACTGATGATTGCAGTCTATGGCAATGAAGTACAGTACAATTGCAATCCAACATTTTCCAATGGTATGAACAATTTCATGAAGACAAAAAAATGTTGATGATGATCCTAGGAGTAGTTGCCCTGAGGAGTGTTGAAATGAAGATGTGATCGTCAGGATTCAACAACTACTGATTGTAAATTGTCATTAAGAATGATAGCAGAAGAAGAAATATCAGCAAGGACACTGTACAGAATACTGATACAGAAGATTTGAAGAAAAAAAAGGAAGATTTGTGCACAATTGGTTCCACATACTGTGATTGAACAGCAGAAAAAGTAGAGAATTGCCATAAGCTAAGATTTGATTGAAACAGCAGAGAGTGATCCTGATTTCTTTAAAAAGATTGAACCAAAGACGAAACTTGATACTAATTAAAGGAAAAACATTTCGACTCAATTTCGAATCTGGATAAATAATATGACAAGGGAATTAAAATCTATTCCAGTTGCTGAGTTCTACAGTGGAATACAAAACTATATGTCCATGCTAAGCAATGCATAGACTTAAGAGAATGTATCTTAAGAATCAATAGTGAACAAGTTATTTCCTTCATATATGTATTTTATATTAAATCAATCCACTTTGTATATAGATAGATAGTTTTTATATGAAAGAAGAATTTTGTTTATATTTTTAAACAATATTTATTTATTTAAAAAATTATATAAAACAATAATAAAATTATAATTAGAGAGAAAAATAATTTATGAACCTTTATTCTTATTCTTTTAAATTGATGTACTTTATAATTCATCTTATTTAGAAGTCATAAATAATTTTAATTTTTCATAATCTTTTTCTCAATACCATTTTAATTATTTATTTCATTACTTATATCATAAAATAAATCATTTTCCTAGTTTCAGATTTATTCCTAAACATCAATGAATATCCTTTAATAGAATATTTTACAAAACTGACAAAAGATTTCTAGAAAACTAGAAATCATTTTCTTCATTTTATGTTTGTTTGTTTTTCATAATCTCTAAACAATCTGTAATTATACTTTATAAGTTTCAACTGTATATTTATTTACACTAAATGATTATACAGTAAAATCGGTGTAAACTGGAATTGCACAATACCAAATATTTTTTCTCATTTTAGTAGGTTTTAGTATTATTATTTTTGTTTTTATCTTTAAACTATAACAGATAAATATCATATAGTTATGCTCATTTTACAGTGAAATCACTTTTATTGCAAATATAAGGAACATTTTATTACTAGGTTTTATCCAGTTATTCAAGGTACTTTTAGCTAAAGATGGGAGTATTTGAATGCAAAAATCTAGAACTATCTGCTTCTAAAAAGTCTCATAGTTTCTGAGAAATTGTTAGGTATTCAAGTACTAAGACTTCTCAGATGCTCATATGAAGTTACTCAATGGTGAACAAGTCAAGAACTAGGATGGTTGAGCTGATTAAACATCACACTATTGCATTAGAGTCCTGGAATCAAATCCAGATAAGTAATTACCCAGGAATTGTTTATTGACAATCTATCCCTCACACCTTGTTGCTCCTATGATGGGCATGAAAACAGGTCCATTTAGTATCCACAGGGTGGAAACAGTTTAAAATCTCCCATGAGAGAGTAAGATTTTTTAATTGCATTACAGTAATACAGAGACAAAGCTATTCTGTGATCTGACTTCTCAAGGAATTTTAGTACTCTAATTAAACAATGATTCAGTTGCTGTAATTACCAACTATATTAGTCAACTTGTTCTCAAATACACAGCAATGGTTGGTTACTAACTTCTCTATGCAAGGCAAACTGGAAGTCTTATTTCATTGTTTTCAGTGGATTGCATTTGTTACTTCTCAAACTCATTTGAACTTTGAAAGTTCTCAATTCTTAAAAATAAGCCAAATGATTGCTGTTACTAATCAGGTTATTATTATGCTGTATTTAATAATTAGATACTAAGTAATTTGGTATTAGAGGTATATGTTAGGCACCATTTCTTATCTAAATTAATAATTATCAGCCTTCAGGATATTATTATATCTTAAAAATAATTGTTGGAATTAATTAGGGATAGAATCGAAGATTAATATTAACAAGGATCTTATGTCTGCATGTCCTTTCATAATGTGACCTATGTGTCTCTGAAAAGATTAAACCTCATTCTCAAAATAGAGTTTGTCAAGCTCTGCAGTGATCATTATACCTGGTGATGATTTTTGTCTACAAGTGGTATCTTAATTGTTCACATTGTTTAGGTTAAATTGCCTTCTTTGTATCAAAAAGCACTTACATTACTTTCCAGCTTATAGTAAATTATAATGCTAAAAATTGCAATTCCAGTTTTTTTTGTTTAGACAGATTTCACTGTATTTGTATATTGAAGTAAAATTTACTACTTATGGTGTATATCCTATATCCCATACAAAATGTGTCAATTGTCTTATAAGCTGAATTTATTGGTTATTTGAAAACCTAAATGTATGTGTTTTATGAAAAATTCCCTTTATTCAATTTTAAATGTTCTTACATAAATTAAAAGTCTTAAAATAAACTATAGTAGCTGAAATGTCAAAAAAGATAGATAAATTGTTATACAGTATAATAACTAGAATATAACTTATTTCAAAGGTTTAAATGATGTATAAAGAAACAAGGAAATTTGCTGATTATTATGATTATAAACTGGCATGTTTTAATAATGATTGATAATTACTTTAATAGCTTCATACATAACTAAAATATTAAGTAGATAACCTAATAAACATTTCATGTATGTTCAAACTACATAAAAAGAAATTTTTTAAAATTGCATAATCATATCTGTTATAATTACAGGAAACTAAAACTTTGTTACAATTAATTTTAAAATTTAGTAAAAAAAAAATTAAAATCGAATACCTTGTAATACTTTCATTACTACTCCCACTTGTTCCAGGTAAAACTTTTTTTATTTTTAACCTCTCATTCTGTTGTTTTACTTCCTTCTTTGCTCTCTCCAGTGCTTCTTCACACATTTGCCAAGTGTGTCCCCTTTTCAGATATTTTTTAACTGGCTGAAAGTAAGGAATGCTTATATGGCTACAAGTTTCTGAATCTAAACTATTAGTCTTTGAGCTGCAACTGTTGCTAATATTGCTCTTTGTGTTACTAGATAATGTAGAAGAAGCACCCGTACGTATACTTCTTGCTTCTAACAGAGTTCGAGGTATAGATGCAATGGGACCCTGAGTTGTCAAATCATCAGTAATGAGTCCATGACTAAAAATTTGTTGTTCCTTATCTGGTAAATAATAGTCTATTGGATGATTATCTTTATGATCAACAATCAAATAATAGTTGCTGGGAAAAGAAGTGTAAGAACCTATTGAAGAGCTATATGGCTGCGATACCATTGTAGCAAGTGATGATCTTCTTTGACAAAACGGTTGAACTAAACTGTTCGGATGGAATGGTGTGCTGCTCAGGTGTGGCACCCATAAAGTTCCTGGATGTGATTTGGAACGAGAAGTACGTGGAGTGGGAGCTTCATCTTCATCCCATAATTGTTGACAAGATTCAGATTCTAGTTGATGTTTTACTTTTTGTAAAGTAGTCAGTCTAGTTTGAATCAATTCAACTGTTTCTTGGCATCTTGTGTGAGCAGTCTAAAAATTTTTTAAAAATAAACTTACTAAATACTGTGGTTGCAAATTAATTTTAAAAATTAATCAATTAGTATATTTTTTTTTACTTTGTACTGAATAAGAATTTTTAAAAATTAAAAATCACATTAATCTGTGGTTTCTTTCATTATGAACTTACTTTACATTGATCTACAAGCCTTTCATTTTCTAATTTCAATGCAATGTCTGTCATTTCCTGGAATGTTTCTTCTGGAATAACTGGATGATCATCCATATAATCTTGAAGATGCTTTATAAGTTCATTAAGCACCTCAGGATTTGTCAGATTGTCCATTGTCATATGTGAAACAAATCTCATTGTTTCTAAAGCCCATTCGTATGTCTAAGGGATAATGATAATGATATTTATCTGTTTTCATAAATTTAAATAAAATAATACAATATTATTTATAAATAACCCACCTTGTCTAGAAGATGATAGCACTTTGCAGTATCCTCCAGTCTTTCTCTAGTATCTTCTAAACGATCTGTAAAACTGTTTAGACGATTCTTTAGAGAAGTTGTGAGTTCATGGACCCCTATATTACTGTTCTTAGATTCATTTGGAGTTTCTGGCGAAACATTTGGTGCCTCTGCTAATGCTTCAATACCCATCATTGCTGCCTCTTCTAACAGATCATTTCCTTTTTCAATTTGTGTCTAATAAAGAAAATCAAACTCAGAATTAAAATAGAAACCATAAATATTTAAAAATTCTGCAATACAAAAACTATATTTTGAAACAGAAACCAAAAATAATATAGACNTAAATTTCTCTTCTCTGACAGGTCTTATTTAAGTTTTTGACTTGCCTCCTTGTTTTTTTTTCCTACAAGTTAGACAGGAATGAATACGCATCGCCAAAATGTTGGCTTCTCAGCAATGCAATCTATCAATCGAATTTTCTTTAGACGTGCATTGGAATTGAGGTTTAATGTTAAAGTAAAATATTTGTATAACTTCCTAATCGTTGTGATGGATGACTGATGTTTTCCATTCTCAATTTGTCTTGGAAAAATGCTAAATTAGGTCAACGTGTCCCACTTTCTCCTAGACTGTCATTTATACTTTAATCTTAAACGTTTGCAAGCATGTGGTGACTTAAAAAATGGCGATTTTTCTCCTAGAAGATATTTTAGATGGGTTTTATTTATTTGCTAGCTTAGAGACGTGCTTGGACTTCCATTTAAACAGTAATTCCTCTAAGAAATATGTGAAATTGCTTCATTCCTAACATTTTTACATTCGTACTCCAATTGAAATTTTATTATAAAACTGTAAAATGTATTATACAGGAATTAATTTTGGTATTACGAACAAGTATTAACTTCAATCTAAATATTGTAAAACGACCTTTAAAAAGATAACGTAATTTGGTAATTAATTGGAACAATTTAAACAAATGGATGTATTTTACTTAAGTTTGTTACTATTAAAGGTCGTTTCTATAAGGAAAACAGCAATCTTACAAACTTTAACGACCAACAGTTTAATTTAGTCGGCCATTTTATAAAGAACTTAATAGTATTACTTTAAATTTAAACTAATTGGATTATTCCTACGGGTTATTAAGAAAAGAAAATGACTCCGAATTTCATAATACCACTTATTGTTTTGTTGTATATTGACTCAAATAATGCTGATAAATAGGAAAAAGAAAGTTATATTTTATTTTCAACCGTATATTTAGCTATACGACATGAATTTCTTAATCATAAAACAGAATTATACGGAATTTTTATTGTTTATCGAATAAATCAAATTCTATTGCTTAGCAATAAATAAAATTGCTCAACAGCAGACAGTAGAAGGGTCAAAAAACATGAATTCTGTACTCTATAATAATAAGAAGTTATTCTCTTGAACTTCTTTGTTTCATTTTAATGAAATTCAATTATTTTTATACATTTTCTGATATATTTTTAGCTTGAAAAGGTTAAAAATACTGAGATAAATAGTAAAAAGTTTATTTTTAAGTTAAACAATAAATATTCTAACTACTTATAAATTTCGAAAAAATTCCAGCAATATATTGTCGAATCATCCTTACATAAGCCAGGATAAGAGATATCTCTAATACCAAACACCGCTACAATTACTTAAACATGAAATCTTCTTAGGAAAAAAAGGATCGGATAAAATCCAATAAGACGACGAAACCTAAGGACTGCAGAAGTGACGAAGCACGAATTTTACCAAGTTATCTGTATCGATTCCAGATGCGTTTAATCATAAAGGAAAAAAAAGTCAAAGTTGAACGGAATATACCATCTTCCTTCCTGCAGAAATGAATTCCTCTTCTATCGAAAGTAAAACTTATGGAGTCTACATTAGAAACGAGTTAATTAAACTAGTTTAAACTGTCCTAGAAATTTTTTAATTAAAATTATTTAGGTAATAAGTAACAGCGGTTTCGGAGCAAATTCTAAGGAACGAAATTCGTCAAAAATCGGTGTGGGTCGAGAGAAGAAACGAACCTGTATATAGAAGATTACCTTGCCTCCGGGTCCTGTTTGATATTCATAACTTATCGACTGCACGTTGCCCTCTTCTGTCTGGCTCTATCGTGTTTCTTTACACAATATTTTATTCACCAGTGCGTTTTATGTGCGACGATACCGAGAATTTAAGTAGAGAAAACGAAACCCGAGATTCTAAAATGTATGTGGGTCAATTAATGTGGAATTGCATAAAAGAACATTTCCACCAGGCGATAATGTGTGAGAGAAAGGATAATTTATCAAATTCTACATCTCCGGGCGATAGTTAAATGTTAAAAAAATCGGGTATAAAATCGAATTTTGTAATAAATCAATAAACGTGGGAGTAGAAAAACTAATAATTAAAATAAATAAAATCGGTTGCTTAGAAGAAAGAAGTGTTGCGGGCATCTGTCGAAGGTTTTTCACGTTAATTAATTTCTAAAGGCCATTATAAAAGAAATGGCGTGGGTTTATCCGTAACGGAAGATTAAGAATCTATCGATTCTCTCCAATTATAAATCGTTAGTATGATTTGCCCAAGGGTACCAAAGCGTTAACGGAGCTTTAATTATATTTTCACCCATTATAAATGGTAAAAATGGTTTCGACACAAATCTTTAAATATAATATTCAATTGAATAAAACCGGATAATATCAGAAAAACTGGATTAAAAAAGAAGAAAAAAAAAATTAAACTGCATCGCAACTATCCAGACCTCGCATTATCGAATTCACTCATCTGACTAAAATAGTAGGTTTTACTCCATCGTATAAGCGAGTTTATCACGTTTTCTATCGCTTTTTATACAAGTTGGAAGAACTCCTTGTTCCATTACCCCTCTACTCAACCGTGAAAGAATCACTTTGTGATATTTTGCCGCAATATTTTCGTTTTTTTTTTTCCATACAAATCTGACCTACGCGCGGATTTATTCTAAGAAAATCCAATAAAATCGAATGCGTACGTGTTTGTAAACGGAATATAAATGTATTAAATTCATAAGGATGATATATATATAATGTACAGTACATACAAATGTAACTTCCAGTAAACTTTACAGTCATCGCGAAGCCATTTCCTATCTAATTACGAATAGTTAAATATAGATGATGCGCATTTACTGCTTTATACAAGTGTAGCAAACAAAGAAAACTTTAAAAGTCTATTTTCGTTTTATATATAGGCCTATATATATATATAAATAATTTTTTNTCTAATGAGGTATATTTTAGTTAATTATCTGCTTATCAATACATTGCCTACGTAAACTACTATAGTTGTGTATACAATTAATGTACTGCATACTAGTTACGAATTAAATATGGATATGATTTTTATAGCTTTCTATTCCCTTCGTTTTCTATCTCAACACCAAACAAAGTTCGTTTACAATAATTTATGTTAGTTTTTTAAGCATGTTTCTTTTCTTATCAGACAAGGACCGCATTAAAATGCATCAAAAGGATCGTATCAAAATGGCAACCCACGTACTGTTTTCATCCAACGTCAAGGTAATTTTCACCTTGAACCGACCTCGAAAACAGTTAACAATTTATCCATATATAGGGAGAATAACACAATAATTGAATTCCTTAAACTTATTCTAAACAAATTAATTAAACAGTAGAAATTGCATAATTTGTAATTCGTGCGAAACGTGAGAAATGTCACGATTGTGTAACTTATAAAATCGAATGGGAGAGGAGTAAAAAATTTTTAAAAAATACAATAATAAAACTTCATAAAATTGTAGCCTAGTTTATTAAACATCGATAGGAAAAAAAAAAATTCTCCTGGAATGAAATGTATAAATGGAACGAAACTATGCTAAATAGGTTGGATTATATTAAGTTCAGGTCAACTTAAATATAGAAATTTAGTAGGAGGAGACTATCGAGAGTGAACTTTAGACTTTATAAAATTACAATTAATCGGAACGATATTTACCAAAAATTTACACTGGAAAAAAATGATTTTTAATACGTAAAATTACGCGAAACTGGACAAATGTTTGCACAAATTTCTTTTGTTAATTGCTCAATTTGATTCATGACCTAAAAACAATTATTATGCCCATTAAGATTTTAAAGACTGTTTGTAAATCATGCAGAAGGTCAACGTCGTTAATCTCTCTTCCTTATATTAACAAAGTTAAACAATTTTTATCGTTTACGAAATTAACATTAATTAAGACAGTTTGAATGAGTTTATTAATTAGCATACGTAGCAGCAACACACTAACGAGGAACTGATGTATTGAAATCTGCTTATTAACGTTTCTAGATGAGTCAAAAGCCCAAAGTTCGATCGATAATGCGATAGAAACGATCGAGTTTTAAGTTATAGAGCTGGAAATATTTATCATTAATCAATTATAGGAAGTTTGAAGGGCTGCAGGTTTTAGCAAAAACTTGTTTCGATATAAAATTTCCTTATTTTATTGTCAATAATCATTATTATTAAACCGGAAGGGGCCTTGTTCTGTTTAAATTAATAGGAATTAGTGCCAAGTTTTCAGTAGCGATAGTGCAAGAATGCTAAATGATATAACAGCATTAATGTTTCCCCACGCGCCCTCGACCCCCCAAAATACATTAAAAGCTTAAGCTTTAATATTGATCAAATGATATATATTTTTTTAAATTATAAATTAATGATCCTTCCTAGATGATGAGGGCAAGTCGAGTTAGAAAGTAGAGCAAAATACTCACCAACTGACAGAATCGCATGCAGCTACACAAGCTTTCATCATTGTATATATATATATTATCTACATATTTCATTCAGATATTTATTATCCATTAAAATCTATATGCATAATTCTTTTAAGACAAGAGAATTTTAATACTGTTAAGTATGCTGAAGTAAAAGATTCTCTCCTCAGACTTGAAACTATTGATGAAAAAACATTGTGACTCTTGTCAATAGGAGATTGTATAGATAAAGAAAATGGTAAAAAAAAAACTGTTATAAAGTTAATGTCTGTTAAGTAAGAGACAAAAACGGAATTCGGAAGGGTCAATTCCATGTCGCAGAGCTAAACAAGGTCTGGAACTATTCTATTCAACATAAACAAAGAATGTTTTATATGACTTAATGGGGCAGACTAATCATCTTCCTGCTGCTCTCTATTTCCAAGGCCAATGCATCTGTCCAGATAACATCATACTTCATCCTTATTAGAGGTCAGTTAGTGACATTTTGCCATTAAAAAAAAAAATTGTAGTTTATGATTTGTAATTTATATCCTTTCATTTTTGAAAATCTGTTTTAAGAAAGAACACAAATTAAATCATTTTATTCTCTACAACACAAATTACAAAATAATACTTTGATATATATTTATTGCTCTTTAGAGATGTAAAATACAAGAAAACAGCATCATAAATTAAATTCTAGTAGTTTATCTCTTTGATGAATCTAGACCTGACTAAAATAGTAGGTTTTACTCCATCGTATAAGCGAGTTTATCACGTTTTCTATCGCTTTTTATACAAGTTGGAAGAACTCCTTGTTCCATTACCCCTCTACTCAACCGTGAAAGAATCACTTTGTGATATTTTGCCGCAATATTTTCGTTTTTTTTTTTCCATACAAATCTGACCTACGCGCGGATTTATTCTAAGAAAATCCAATAAAATCGAATGCGTACGTGTTTGTAAACGGAATATAAATGTATTAAATTCATAAGGATGATATATATATAATGTACAGTACATACAAATGTAACTTCCAGTAAACTTTACAGTCATCGCGAAGCCATTTCCTATCTAATTACGAATAGTTAAATATAGATGATGCGCATTTACTGCTTTATACAAGTGTAGCAAACAAAGAAAACTTTAAAAGTCTATTTTCGTTTTATATATAGGCCTATATATATATATAAATNAATGTTATAACAATAATAATAATAATGTAATTAAATACTGTATGAAAATTTCACTGAAATTGCACAGAACTATTTAAAGAAAAAAATTAAAATTCACATTTTTTTAGTTAAAGAATGCGTGAATAAATAATAATTTGTGTAAATTAAGTCATTTGATATAATTCAATGTTAAATTTTATACATTTTATTAAATTATCTTTTCTATTTTTTCCATTAAAAATAATGATAAAACTCTTAAACTTTCATATAGTGGTTAAGTAGGATAAGAATTTATGAGATGATGATATACAATAGACAGAATAATTTTATAATGGATGAATCTATCCACTAGAAAATTATAGAAAATTGATTCCTTCTTCAATAAATCTTTTGAGATAATTATCGTCTTTAAAAATACAATTTTCAATACTTAAAAAAATGAAGATTAATTTAATTTCTTTCCAATTTAATAAATTTAAGTATAGATGTCACGATTGAAAAATATATTTATAATTTAAATCGTGTAGTTTATACGTGGAATAAAAAAAAATTCAAGCTATTTTCAACCTACATAATTAATTTCAATAATAAGAAGGCGGATGATTCATTAAGTACAGAACGATAATGATGATGTACTATACATAACGTCGTTTAATCATTAACAAATATTAATTCACGAATTCGTTCCAATTAAGTTAAATGTCCAATTTACAATTTCTAATGAGGTATATTTTAGTTAATTATCTGCTTATCAATACATTGCCTACGTAAACTACTATAGTTGTGTATACAATTAATGTACTGCATACTAGTTACGAATTAAATATGGATATGATTTTTATAGCTTTCTATTCCCTTCGTTTTCTATCTCAACACCAAACAAAGTTCGTTTACAATAATTTATGTTAGTTTTTTAAGCATGTTTCTTTTCTTATCAGACAAGGACCGCATTAAAATGCATCAAAAGGATCGTATCAAAATGGCAACCCACGTACTGTTTTCATCCAACGTCAAGGTAATTTTCACCTTGAACCGACCTCGAAAACAGTTAACAATTTATCCATATATAGGGAGAATAACACAATAATTGAATTCCTTAAACTTATTCTAAACAAATTAATTAAACAGTAGAAATTGCATAATTTGTAATTCGTGCGAAACGTGAGAAATGTCACGATTGTGTAACTTATAAAATCGAATGGGAGAGGAGTAAAAAATTTTTAAAAAATACAATAATAAAACTTCATAAAATTGTAGCCTAGTTTATTAAACATCGATAGGAAAAAAAAAATTCTCCTGGAATGAAATGTATAAATGGAACGAAACTATGCTAAATAGGTTGGATTATATTAAGTTCAGGTCAACTTAAATATAGAAATTTAGTAGGAGGAGACTATCGAGAGTGAACTTTAGACTTTATAAAATTACAATTAATCGGAACGATATTTACCAAAAATTTACACTGAAAAAAAATGATTTTTAATACGTAAAATTACGCGAAACTGGACAAATGTTTGCACAAATTTCTTTTGTTAATTGCTCAATTTGATTCATGACCTAAAAACAATTATTATGCCCATTAAGATTTTAAAGACTGTTTGTAAATCATGCAGAAGGTCAACGTCGTTAATCTCTCTTCCTTATATTAACAAAGTTAAACAATTTTTATCGTTTACGAAATTAACATTAATTAAGACAGTTTGAATGAGTTTATTAATTAGCATACGTAGCAGCAACACACTAACGAGGAACTGATGTATTGAAATCTGCTTATTAACGTTTCTAGATGAGTCAAAAGCCCAAAGTTCGATCGATAATGCGATAGAAACGATCGAGTTTTAAGATATAGAGCTGGAAATATTTATCATTAATCAATTATAGGAAGTTTGAAGGGCTGCAGGTTTTAGCAAAAACTTGTTTCGATATAAAATTTCCTTATTTTATTGTCAATAATCATTATTATTAAACCGGAAGGGGCCTTGTTCTGTTTAAATTAATAGGAATTAGTGCCAAGTTTTCAGTAGCGATAGTGCAAGAATGCTAAATGATATAACAGCATTAATGTTTCCCCACGCGCCCTCGACCCCCCAAAATACATTAAAAGCTTAAGCTTTAATATTGATCAAATGATATATATTTTTTTAAATTATAAATTAATGATCCTTCCTAGATGATGAGGGCAAGTCGAGTTAGAAAGTAGAGCAAAATACTCACCAACTGACAGAATCGCATGCAGCTACACAAGCTTTCATCATTGTACTACATTCATACAAGTATCCGTTGCGACTAAGCGCAGTCAGAACCCACGCAACACATATTCCCGTTTATTCCCGGGGCTATTTAGCTGGGAGCGAGTTTCGACGGAGTGACACCAGATGGAGAAGAAACTGCAAGTAAATCGTTAGTGCACGGGTGCAGCTGCATCCTAAAACTCCGAACGATGCTCCTTCATCCAAAATTAACAAGATCTCACGTCACGAATGTTGCACATCACCAGAAAACGTGCGCCAACCAACTTTTTTTACGTCGCTTTTAATCTCTACAAAAATTGTAGCGACGACTTCTAAATTTAGAGAGAAATTAAAGGCAGTTTATTTTAGTATCCGAGTGAAACAAAGTGTTTCTTTGCTCTTTTTTTTAAAAAAAAATATCGGCAATTAAATTTGCATAAACTCCATTATCCTTCGAGTGAGCTTAAACGAGCATCCTTATAAGGGATTGCCGCATGGAAGGCTTTTGGCGGACGGTAGAAATGTCGAAAAAAGTGCACTTAGTATATATATATAAAGGTAATCGGTGTTTAAATCTGGTTTTCTTCTTCTAGATGACGTCATGTGTAGAGAAATCACTCTCGCCGCACTACTGCAGGTGTGAACTCAGCAGGGAAACAGCCAGATAGAATCTAGTTCCCAAGGTCGACTCGATCACGTTTCTTATTTCAAGCTGTTTTTGGAAGTTGACTTTACCTGCATTTCTACAAATGTGTAAACAATGAAACGGCTCGATCTCTCCCCCTCTTCTTTTTTTTTTGCAGTTGCCCTCGATGGGTGCAAAAAAAAAAATCGTTAGTGCAACCCCGCTACTGTATCCCGAGTAAATTATTACGTAAAGTTAGATTTAATCACATTTTTTTTGTTCTTTTTCTGTCGTACAGTTCGATATTGTTATAAGGATAACGACAATGTGGCGTCGTAAAATTGCAAAGGGTAATTTCACGTCTCGCCGTATTGTCAATATTAAAAATGTAAGAAACAATGTTGAGAAATATAGGAGTAGAAAAACTAGCGACTAACGAAAAAAAATCACTCATGATTGATTACTGTAATTGTTTTCTTTTACTGTATCCATCTGTATATTGTTTTATAGATAAGATACGATGTTATCGCTTTAATAAACATATGTAACACGAAAATTAATTTATGAAGTTTGCATTATGACAAAACTATTTACAGATTAAATTAGCTGGTTACATTTTGAAAATAATCATCGCAAACAATGCCAAATCTTCAAAACGAATTTCTATTGTTTAAATTCATTTACATATAAACTAATAACACAAGAAAACAATCTGCCGAGTTAGAACTCGAGAGACCTAGAACAATTAACCTACTAAGTGAAAGAAAAAATTCTCTCTCCACCTTCTAAGATAGGTTTTTTTTTTAAAAAAAGATAATTTAAAAGCTACTTACCATTGCAACAAAATAGAACTTTTCGAATTCCTCTTCTTGATCTTTTATTCCACCCAGAGAGTCAGCAACAGCTTGATGTTTACTCAGCATCTCCTCTCCTTTTCTGCATAGCCACGTTAGCACCTAAACAAACGAATAAATCGCTAAATAATATAAAGAATGCTGATAACTTGAAATTTTTCTAAAGATAAAAACAGTAACCATATAAAGAAGAAGATTAAGAAATAATGTTTCCAAACTGTTAGTCGCCAGTAAATGTTTTGAAGGCGTGTTGCAAGTGTCCTAGCCACGCTGTGTCAAGCTCACTTTGCTAATATAAAGTAGAAATAATTTCTATTGTTACTAAAAACATTCAGACATTTTGGAGTCGAAAAATAATTTACCTGCATTTAATTTTTATGCATAGAAAGGCGAGCTGCTACGACCGAACGAATTTAAAATCACTTTGAAATCTAATCTTACTTTATCAAGAAGAGAAAAATTCTACGATATCAATTATACAACGATCCAAAAGTATATATATATATTTTTTTAAATAAATAATTTCTGGCATTATCGGAGAATAAAATTCCAAGAAAGCTTTTATCGAGGAGATAATGAGCGCTTTGTAAGTAATTAGGAAGCGAGCTTCACTCCTTTGACTGTTAAGAAAGCATTGACCTTCGAGATTAATAATTGGACAGGGAAGTTGTTCCGTGTTAGACATGAATCATTCTGAAGTCGGTACTTTAATTGAGAAATCACATGACCATAGAGATGAGTCATACCCTACTGCATACCATTCTCCACATATCGAAAAGTGTACGGATTACCTTCACCACTCCAAAGGTATACCGCTGCATCGTATAGATGCAACCAAGTGAAATTTCGTGCTTGTACAATGAACTGTTATATATTTTTTAAAAAAATATATATAGGCCTATATATTTCCATAAAATTAAACATAAGTCTAGTTTCAGTTCAACCCTTATGAAAAGATCATTATACACACCGATATTCCATTACAAATAAGCCACACTTAAACTCCGAATTCTATAATTATGATTTAAAGATGATCAGTTTACAACTCATTAAAATAATGCGTTAGTCAAAAAAGGAATTAAATGTGTTAAATGACATTTTTTTTATTAGAAGAATTATAGCGATAGAATTACGTTATTCGAGTTAAAAGGATCGAATATTCTTCATATTAAAAATATTCGATACAGGGTTGGGCATATGTTTTGTTAAATTCTTCATATTTCAAGATCATAAAAAGGGGGAGAGTTTGAGTTATAGTCTTTCTTGGAACGAAATTCCTTCTCTGTTTGATTCTATTCTTTGCTATTTTTTTTTTTATATCGTCTGTGTTATGAAACTTTGAAAAATATTTTAATTTAGTATAAGCGAGATCACGAATAGGTCAAACTGACCTAATTAGTAATAAATAAAGCATTTAACAATTGTTTAGTGGTCATTAGAACAAGTCTACCTTCACATTTCCAACTGCGAGATAAATTAACAACAAGGGTTTTAAGTCCAGGATACAATCTAGGCTGATCGAGCGATTTATAAAATATTTTAAAGCATAGAAAACACTCGTTTTCTTGTAAAACGTGACGAGAAAGCATTTATTAAATGACTAATGCTCACCTTCGAATATAACAATATCATAAATTTACACTCGAGCCCATTTCGGTATAAACGTAGCCTAAATTGTGAACAGGTTTACAAGTAAATATTTAAAAAAAAGCAAGAAATAAAGTTTGAAAAAGAGAATTCACCCCCCTCTCTCTCTCTCTCGTATAAAGCAAATTTTCATGCAAGAAAAAAAAAAAGTAAATGTAATATTATAAGAGTAATAAAAGTGGTAGAAAAATAAATATTTTAAACTTAACTGCTCGTTTATAGTGAGTGAACCATTCTCGTAAACTCCAGTAAATTGCACTCGTCTGGAATTATATGAGGATGGTTTGCAATTTATTTTATTTTTAAATTCGTTGGCAATAAAAAATTGACATAAATATGTGAATATTTATATATAATATTACGATTTGTATTATATATTACTTGAGTATATTTAAATATTTTCGCATTTACAGAATAATTGCTATCGAGCAATTCTGCAATAACTACATATGTGGATATTCTTAATTCTCAGTTCAGTTCTATGTAAATTGGTTTATAGCAGCAATTTTATATTAATGTGTTGTAATGTATGTTCTATGTTACACTAACTTAAACGAAAGAAGCTTTGAGCTTATCTTCTACATTTTTTTTAATATAATATTTCAAAAGGGTGTGTAAGTAGAGTGTTTGTTAAGAATAGGAAGAAATTATTATTTAAAAAGTAGGAATTGGAATGAAGTAACCTAAATTTGTAAGATATTGTGTCAGCGTATTAAACTAAGCAAATTTAAATATCATCTTAAGTCGACTTACCACTCAAAAAAACACCTTTATACAAGTAACAACATGTAGATTATGATCTTTAATACACTCATCGGAATTTATAATTATCTAAGACGAATTTCCCAAATGATTACTTCATAATCTCATTAAAATTTAGAATTTTTATGACTCCATGTGAAACTTCCTTCGTGCAGTCCATCACGTAGGCATTTGAATATTTTAAATATGCTTAAAGGATAACTTGATCCACTTTTTAAAATTATTATAGTTAAAAAAAACTTTAAAGTGTAGAACCTAATTGGTTAATAACTGCCAAAGAAAACTATGAGGAATGACAGCGTAAACATTGAATAGAGGGGGGAGGGAAAAGCGAAAATAGTGGCGAAGAACGTAAATATTTTCTTAGGAGATATTTACTGAATGATTAATGTGTGGAACTACAAAGTGTGTGGTTTTAAAATGATTAGTACACTTTTTAACAAGACACCTATTTTTAACAGGATACAGGAAAGGTGGAATAGCTTTACACCCTGTTAAACTAGGACTACCACGGGTGAAATTGTTAAAAATTCGGTTATACATAAAAAGAAGGTAATAAATTTACAAGTAGGCGGGCCACCATTTAATGAACATTGTTTATCCGGGGCAAAATACTGCTCTTCTGATACATCATCATCTCTTTCATAAAATGACGTAAATGATGATGAATTACGACAAAATTTTGCAAAGTGAAGTAAGTTTAGAGCCCTAGTTTTAAGGTGCTAACAGATTACGAGTAATGGCTCTCTTCCATGAGGATTCTTCAGATCATCATTGTTATATTTATAAATAGACTGTTTTAAAGATAAAAAAAAAATTAAACGCGGGTTTAAGAGGAAAAATACAAAGATCATCTTATCGTGAAATGCAAATGGCATATCAAAATCCGCATTCAAAATTAATTAATAACTAGTACAACGTGTCGGGTCAATACTAAATCGATCTCGAATGTAAGAGTGGAGAGGTTATTATACCAGTTAACAGTGCTAACAAGAGTGCTACATCAAGTACCTGTCAACGTAGATTATATATAAACATAAAGAATGATACCCCATTGTTTATGTGTTGCCTAATGGGTCAAGTTAGCTAGACCAGTTATGCCATCAATTATAAATAAAAAGATAGAGTTATGCAAATAAATAGGAAGGGTTATTTTTTTTATTATTATTATTCTGGATAATATCATTCTTCCTTAATTAAACCATTATAGAGCAAACAATTCAGCAACCTGGATATCGCTAAAAATAATCCACTGTATTGAGTGGAGTAGAGTCATGATTTTGAAATTTTTTGACGAGTTACGAAGAAGTTGGCACGAAGCGAGATTACTTTTTGACAAATATCTTTTAGGTCAAGACAAAACAAAGCGGTTTGAATATATCCTGAATATGAAATGCAGTTAAATGTTTCTTGCACAAAACGCCATTTCATTGTTAATCACGGTTTCCGTGTAGACCTACTTTCAAATATGAGAAATTTTATGCTGGTATAATTAAATGAGTTTTTTGACCGATGGATTTTAGTTAAATTAGTGTAATTGTTGAAGAATTTAATACCCTAGTGATTTAATTACTCTGAAATTCTCAATGTCGACGAGATCCACCAGAGTTTCGGGAAGTGTTTCGAGCCTCGTTACTTTCTTCGTTATTTTTGCAGCGGAAATGAGTGAATTAGCGCACTGCACATTACTCACTCGTGTTTCTTACAACGAAACATGCGATCTAACTGCCATTTCGGTTAGCGACCTTAAGGGATGGCGGCAAAGGTCTTGCAAGGATGATAAAGGCTCCGACAATCAGAGATCGCTATCTAACTGACCCATTTCATCGGGCGGAAGGAGTGTGAGAAATTGGCCGTGATTATACCCGGGTTAATACCTGGTCATCGGTCCGAACAACAGAGTGTTGTTCGAAAAGCTCACGGATGATCCGGAGCTGGGTCGAGAAGGTCGAGATGATGTTGAGACTAGAGCACTCTTCATTTGTCTATCTGATGATTACCGGGTTAATATCTACTTGCGCATTTCGTGTTACACAAAACCAGAGAAAGTAGGGGTTTGAACGTCAAAAGTAAAATATCACCTGTCACTTTAAGCAAGGGTTACTACATGAAATATGAAAAGAGTTCAATCCGTATTTAGGAGAATCTGTTTCCTTCTTTTGATACAAATTCTAATTAAAACTCGGCATATCAATCGAAGAACTTTAAAAATAAGAGAAATAAATATTTAAAAAAACATTCACGAATATACTAAACAGAAGCGTGACGTAATTGAGTGACACACGGCAAGACGCGCCAACACGAAACAATAACTACATCGTGACGATAAAATATAGGGCTAGATATAACCGATTCCATCGCAGGTAATAAGTAGGACTGCGTAAGAAGTCCGCAGTACACCCTTGCTTAATTAAAAGTGGAGGCAGTGAAACGGGTGTCACGCCCATACATCACGTCTTCTATAATTTTTCCTATACACTGTCTGCTTACACGACTATTTATTTATCTGCAACCGTAAAAAATACACATCTCAACAACCAGAAGGCCCTCAATAAAATTTTCAAACTTCCTTTTCTCTCGTCTATCCAATTCAGTCCATCTAACAAGTAATCATATCTAAGAATAAAATAAAAATATATCTTCAATCCAATCTACTGATAAGATCAGTAATCTCCAATTGAACTTTCAGATGAATTTTCTATCAAGTTCTCAATTGATAAAGATTAAAAAATAAAACAGCAAAATGGAAAAATTTCTTAATTAAATCTAAAAAAAAATTGAATAAATTATTAAAAATCATTTTATAAAATTATAATTTAATGACAATATAATTTTCTGCATCTGCGTGTAATAACCGTGAAGGCTTCTCTATCCATTAAGTTATCTCCAATGAGAATTCAAAAACACTTTAATGTCCTTTAATGTTTAAATATAATTAAATTAAAAAACATTATTTTGAATTATTCTAGTAATTTTTATCATAAATAAAAAGTTAATTTAAATATTTAAATAGAAATTGTATTAAATTTAATCATACCAGATATACTTTATTATACTTTTTTTTCCTTTAATAAGTGATGATGAGCTGAATTATCGCATTGCACATCACTAGCTTTGGTTTCATACAGTAAAACATGCGACCACCACTTAATTCTTATTATAAAAATATAAATTCCAGAAGTTTGTTTACCTGACTAGATTCTTCTTCCAGCATCTTAACTTGAAGACATTCCTCCAACCTTGTAAGTCTTTTATCCGCTAATTTGGCAAGTTTATCCATCGATTTTCTCAATTCTCCATACAAGTTACTCGTCTTCTCCAGACACTCCCTTAATTCAAATAATTACGAAAATTTCAAATTTCAACGCATTGTATTCGTAGAATTTCTTAAATACTGAAACGTTAAACATTCGTAGATGGATGGTTTTCAAAGACGAATTTATCAATAAAAGGATTATTATAACTTTACACGATGGACTTCATTATCATTATGTTAATTCAGATACAGCTGCGGCGCCATAGCGATAACACACGGATAAACAATTACATGATAACCGACGTTACGATGACAAAATATCTACGAATAATATTGTTAAAAGTTTATATTTATAACCTATTTTTAATCGGTTTTTTTTTTTCGTATATTTAACACAGGCGAGAGGTGTTAACAATTTAAGAATTACATCTCGATTCGATTTAACAATAGAGGTTGCGGCCGAAGTTTTCATCTTTAAAACGTGAACGTCGAACGTCGAGCGCCGCTATTTTGTAAGCGGCGCTCGACGTTCGACGTTCACGTTTTAAAAATGAAAACTTCGGCCGCAACCTCGCTAATAATAAGTTTTTTTTTTTTATTGGTATTAAAGCGTATGTATATTTACCTGTAATCGGTGTTATGGGGTGATTGGGTACCGTAAGATTCCAATTCTTTCAGAATAGCGTCTCCTTCTTCCTCCAGATGGCGCAACTGGTCGTCGTGGAAGGTCTTATTGATGTGTGATTTCTGCTCTTCTATCAGATTGTGCGTTACTGTGCTGGAAGAAGGAAGCTGGTTGGCCTTCAATGTCTGCATAACTCGAACCAGATGGCGACCGGATATTCTGCAGTTACTGACGAAAGGCTCCAAGAACTTTAAGAGAACGAAAAACAAAAAAAAAAAAAAAATCTCTGTTATAGCATCATTTATCTACTGTTTTGATCACTTAAAGTGTTTTTATCGCTCTTTTTTCGTGTGAAAATAAGAAGCTGCATTAATTATTATTACTTGTTAACGTTTTTATAAAGAAAATACTTAATAATAAAACATCTTGAATGTGTTTTGTAACGCTTCTGAAGCCGACAGAACTGGCTTTAAATTATCACAAAACATTCTTCGGCTTCTAAATATATATACATATATTGCTGACATTACTTTCTTTTTTCTAGAATTTCTAAGAATTTTCATTATCAAGATGGAGTTTGAATTAAAAATCGATGAAACGAAAATAGGAATTTCAATTAATTAATGCGTTTACACAGCTCTAAAGTAAACAATTTCGTTGTTAACTGTTTAAATATTTGTTGTTTACATAATTAAAATTAAATTGTTTAAATTATATAGATTAAATGCTGCATACTTTACGGAAACTAATCCATTCTTGGTGATCGTAAACGTATTTACCACCGAATTCACTCAGTAGCTGCTCTTCTTTGACATAAGTTAAAAGTTTCTCTCGATCATTTATAACTTCAAACTATAAATAAATTTTTAAATTAAAATTTACAAAAAATAAAATAAAATAAATTTTAAAAAATCACTTACTTTAATTTCGCTACAAGGAAAGGTTACTTTATAATCATCATTCACCTTCCACAGTAACACTAAACTTATGCAATTAGGAATGATGTTCTACGGCATAAAACATTTTTTATTATTGTAATTAAAGAAAATTAATGTTAATTTTATAGGAATTAATTTTTAAAAAATATACCTGAAGAAGTCGAAATGTATCGTCTAAAATAGTCCAGACATCTTTAGGAGCTCCTCTTCCGTCTACCAATACTAAAAACCCTCGACGAATGACTTCTCGCCTGTAGAATATATAAAATTAAAACAAAAGAAGGAAAATTAATTGAAAAATATTAATAAAAATTAATATTATTCTTACGTGGGCACAGCGTGGTAATAAGCTAATAATTGACACAGTTCAGATGGTGCTATTTTCTGTTGTAGAAGAGTGCCAAATATCACAACCATACTTCGACCTTTTATATCGCGTGACCCTAGAAAGAAATTCGATTATTGTAGTTTTATACATAAATAAATTAAAATTAAAATTAAATTTTAAAAAATTAATAATTCTACCTGGTAAATACGCGACTCCGGAATGAAGAATGTCTTGATTGACTTGGCCTATGGAGTTTGAACGTAAGGTTGTCTGCTCGTTTTGGCATCCATCTGAACTTATCCTGTTTTCATTATCTGGTTAAAAAAAAAACAAAAATGAAGATATTTCTAAATCATCTTTTTAATTTAAGGCGTTTATCGTCGCACGTGAAAACGTTAAAAGTTCTCATATAACAATTTTCAGTGATACGATAGTAACATAAAACATATACTCTGTAATATATTTATGTAAGAATGTTTATTTACAGGATAATATTTACATAATGAGGATATAAGAAAGAAAATCAGGTGAGTTAGGTTACCTCATAAAAAGATCCTTCCTCGACCGAACAATAATAAAATTTACATAGTTCCTTGCAGTTGTTGATTTTACGCTTTTCCTATTGGTTAATTCAAATATATGAATTAACCAATTAGGAGTATATGTGGGTTAAATTATTCGATTCTTTTCTCATTCAATTTTTAAATATATATATATAACTTTTTTCTCTTTTTGTTCTCTTTCAACTATAGTTCAGCAGAAACCATGCAAATCGGTCAACTCGAAAACTTTTTCACTTTGTATCGATTTTTGGTACATAAAATAGGTCAAATTTTACTAAATGGGTAGTAAGTGTAATGTTAGTCACGACTATAACCTTGATAATAGGTCTTGATACACATCAATGCTACTCTTCTAGAAATCGATACGTCACACTTTTTAAGCTTGTTTTCGAATCCCTGAAACAATTAAGTGGAGATCAAATTCAGGTTCTTTTTTTTTTTTTTGTTGCAAAAAGGGGAATATACGCATTACGACATTAAACCGAACAATGGAAGAAAATTGGGAACGATTTTTCTGAAAGTAAACAGTTTGAGAGGGAAGATTTATAGCAAATATTTGAATGGAAGAGAAGGCCACCCGATGCGAGAGAAAATTAAAAAAAGGGAAAATAACCTCGGGTCGAGACCTCCTGAAGGGTTTCCAATGATACCAGGTAACCGTCAACATTGTTAAGATGACAACATTAGTGGTGCTGCTCTTAAGGAGTCGAGAACTGCATCGCTTGAAAATAAAGAATATAAACACCTCTCTCTAGAGATTCTTCACGGAAAAATAATTAGAATTTCTTTTTTTTTTTTTTCTTCTTCGCTACCGATCACTCATCGCGCTGAGATTTAACGATAGCATCTTATATTACAGAGAGATAATCAATCCAATAAATTAGAAATTACAACATGCCAAAAACAAATTATCAACTTGGCATTCGTAGCCATAAAACCGTTGTAATTTGATGCGCGGGTTGTAATGTTAAACTTAAGCTGTTGAAATAAATTAAATTCAACCTGTTAAAGGATTAGCTACCAAGATTATGTCGAGAGATAAATTTATAACAAAGTCGAAACTAAAAAATAAATATTGATACTAACGAGCTCTAATTTTCTGTTAGGATGGGAGTGGTACAAAGCAATTTGTGTCGTCATTTTTTTAAAATTATTATTATTATTTTTTTATTAACTGCAGAAAATGATTCTTTGCAATGCGCATATCTCGCTAAGAGCCGTGGTAATTTGAGAATATTTAGTAACATTCCCCAATTCATTAGCAAGGTTAAGTTCAACGCATTGCAAAGTCTTAAAAATCACGAATTATCTGCAACTCTTTCCCAGATAAGAACACCATTACCGAATTCCTTCATCCTGACATAAATTATCCTCCTTGCATTAAGTTTTTAGTTCATACAGATAAGTCTATCCTCAGGCTATACAGTTTGTATTTTCAGCTTTGCATCTTCTATCGTTTCTGTAAAGTTTCGATAGATCTTTATCGTTAAAATAAGGTTATTGTCTATTGTTAAATGTGAAAAGGTAGTATTATGTAGAGATGTACAACCTCAATTAAGATTAACAGTTCTTAACGAAAAATTCAATTTTCTTTAACAGGAAAGGTGTCTTCACGATTTCTCGTAGTGTGTCTCGCATGGTACAGAAGTAAAAATCCCTGATCGTTCGCATAAATTTGGGAGGGTTTTTTTCCCTTTTTTTTTTAGGGCAGGCAATGATCAGTGTTATCGACAGGTTGGATACACGAATTCGTGACGTCATTACAAAAGTTGCTGTCAGGATTACTTCTGTTTGTGCCTCAACGTAGGTCGGTTCTTGTGATGTTGGCACGATTACTGTCAACCTATTTATAAATTGTAAGTGATTTATAAGGCTCGTAGTAAAGGTCCGTGTAAGATATTCATGACCTGTGGTTTTCGAGATGCAATTAAGTTCATAAACTCCAATAATAAATAGTATGTTTACGTATCTTTGCATTTCTCCTATGAACTACGCGAAATTAAAGGGGGGATCGTGTAGATAGTAAGCATTGACCGCGTATATGATAAAACAATATTAAAGCATATTACAACATTTATAAATCCATAACTGCCATTAACATACTAAATATAGGCTAGTCGTTCCGCTCTGACGAAAACGGAGCATCGTTTTTCATCACTTGGGGGCATTTGCAATGACTACAATAATTATTTTCTCAAGGCCGATTCTTCTTTCTTTTGATTAGTCATCTCCGTCGAGTGATATCGGATGGAAATCTTAAAATTCCAAGAAAAATTTCTATTTTAATCAGCCAAATTACTAAAATTAGAACTAAAAATTAACATTTTTAATTCAAACTGGGATTTCAAGCAATAACATTAATTTTCTACTGAAAACTTGTTCTGATGATGAAAACACAAATAATTATAAGGTTCACGACATTGAAATAACCTATTTTAAGCGGATATATAGGAACTTTACGCTTAGAAAATAATAATTAAATCAAAATTCAGTTGCAAATTCTTGTAAAAATTGCAAAATTTGATTGATGAGAGATAAAGTTCAATTCAATTTTTACCTTTACCTGTTTCGGATATTTTCCCTTCGACTTCCTCCTCCGGGTGCTGACACGAATGCTTTTTGGTTGTTTCCCCATCTGTAACAGCCTGTATGGAATTATCTTTGACATCGACCTGTCCGACAGGGCAGCAGGATGAATAAATATGGTCGCATGTCCACGGTCTCACAACACTTTTCCACTCCAGTCTTTCGATTCCTCTTTCCACGGATACAAGAAGATGCTGAAGAAACGTGCTCAGTTTCTCATCGCTGGTATCTTGTGCCGTATATCCCTCTAACCAGTCCATACTGAAGAGGAAACTGTATTGCGGGGCATGGATGACACGTTGGTCAATTCTATTTTCTGTCCAATATTTAATCAATAGGGCTACACCACTATCAGTTTCTTGTAAACAGAAATAGAAATCACCACACTTTAAAATGGCTTCATCAAGTTCTCCCAAATGAATGAGTACTCGGCGATTAAAGTGCAGAGGCCAACCTTTTGATTTTTGAATACAGTTTGAGCGACATTGTACCTGCAAATAAGTAAAACAACAAAATTACTTTTGCCATTTAAAAAAATCCCTACCATTAAAGTTCCAGTTTTACGTTAGAATGTTGCAATAGGTCAGTATGACGGTATTTTATTTAAATATTTTCCTTAAAAAGCACTCCGTATAACAGGATATTACACTACAAAGAACAAATGAAGGGAAAGACATTTAAAACATACTTCTTGAATGGATAAGAGAAGAGAAAAGGATTGGAAATTTATTTATTTATTTAATTTTTTTTTCAATTTTTAAGAAATTCAAACGAGACAAGAGTCTTTAGAAACAAACAGAATTATTTGTGACAAGAATAAAGTACAGAATAGCACTGTCTTACAGAAAAAAAAAATGCAGTTCTGACCTGTGATTAGAAGAGAATAAAACGACCTTCACAATGCCACGAACACTCAACCTGGAGGTCTTATATACTCATCTGCCAAATTTCCCGGATGCAATTTCCAATTAATTGCATTCTACATTAAGAATAGAAAGGGCTGACATTTATGCCCTAGGGAGGTCTATAATAAAAAAGTGAAAGCGTGTCGTGTAGAGCCCTAACCGATATACAAGAGTGTGTGATACACGGACTTCTTACCAATTAAACATTCCTAAAAATCAGGTATAGTTCGAGGTGTGATAAGTATACTAACAATTTCCTATTACTGTTAATTCTTCACTATTATCCTTACACGCCCAAAACTACCACCTTTAATAGTTTATAGCCTCAGCAAATATATATATATATATATATATATTTTTTTTTTCCTCTGTTTTCGCATCTTGTAATCTTGCAAGCCGATGAAGACTAGTCTAAGTGAGAATGTGCACATGAGGCGTCATAAACATCATTAGCGTTGAGCCGGCGGCCATTTGACTCTCTCTTAACATATGAGGTTAGTTTTGCACTCAGTAGTTTAGCAGAAAACCGAAAAAAAAAAGAAAAGGGTGTATCGACTCCTTTCCTCCGGTCAATTTTTTTTTATCAGGAAATATTACAAAAATAGAATAAACACTACAAAGTATGTATCCCTTCCATTAGTTTCTTTTAATATTTAAGTTTTTCCTGAACCCGATAAAATCTTTAAAGAGAAATTCGAATTGTTACATAGTAAACTAGGAAGTCTTCAAGTGTTGTTACGTTAATAACACGCTAATTATTTTAAGTATAATGATAAGTTTAACGGCATTGATTTTATGAACGAATGTATTATCAATAACTAGACATTATGAAGGAATTGAAAGTTATTGATGTGGAAAATAGCAATGTGGTATCCCACGAAGTTAAAACAACTATCTTGATTGCGGAACCTCTTCAGCCATGGGCGAATAAGTTGAAGGAATGTTAAAGAGGGTCAATAAACTTTTAAGTGAAAAATAACTGTTTTTTAGTGAAAGATGACGTTTCTGCACGTAACATTTTACCAATTTATTACTAAAGTTTTCAATATTCTCTAACGAAATTGGAAGCTGTAAAATTCTTATTTTAAAAACATGTTAAAGACGATGCTGTAAATCAGTTCGGGGTAATCAATCCTGCAGATTTAAAATGGCAAGTTCACAAGAAAGAGCGTAAAGGGAAGGAAGAAAAAAAAACAAGAGGATGTTTTAAAAGAAACAATGTTAACAAAAGAAAGAAAAGGATCCATTAAACTCGATTCAATTACAGAAAGTATTGAAAGAAATTCATTGAAATTCAAAAAAAGAAGTCATTAACTCCACTGCAAAACTTTCTTTTTAGAAAACGGTGCAAAATCTGAACAATTCATTAAAGCTTTCTGTTATCTTAATTCAATATCATTACCATTCTCAACATTCCAAAGTCACTTTATTCGAGTGCTCCCTATGACAAAAGAAACGATAAAAGTATTAATAAGACGTTTGAATGCGAGACACAATCGCTCCTCCAACCTTTTTCTTTTTTAAAGATATAATAAATGAAATATATGAAAATCTAAAATATTCGAAAATGTGATGGGATTTTCTAATATTAAAAAAGGAAATTTCTTAGAAAATTACACAACTAAAAGCTAATTTAAACGTATTAAATCACTGTATATTAAACGTTTCTCATCAGTCAATGTCCACGCTCTTAATCGATTTATCTTCACAAATTGATAGATTTACAGATTAATAAGTTATTAATTCTTCTGATTTAGTTAATATATTCTTAATAAAATATTGAAGATATTTAAAGGAAATTGATACTTAATGGATTTTGAGTGGTCGGTTATTTAACAGTCGTATGAGTCAAGTGTAAATCGGTATTTTCTGTGGTGTAAGACGACTGTTGACAACACAACAATTGTCCATCCGTCATCATTAATGACACTTAAAACCTTGATTCTATCAAATAGCATAAAAAAGAGGCGTGGAATGAGGCTAATTGATTATAGGGTTTACTATACTCTTTAGCCGAACAAATACGAGAAGATTGGGTTACTTATATCTCATAGGCTGGCTTATAATTGCAGCTAAAACTATCGAAATTTATGGGATGTGAGCTGTAAAAGTTAGTCGTTAACAGTAAACAATGCCTTTAAAGATGTACCAGGTGGGAGCTATTTTTTTAAAAGAAAAACATTTTAGTCATAGGTTGAGTCATGTAGATAATGCATTATCCCAGCAAAAAGTGGCATTACGTAAATTGTTTTGAAATCTTGTAACGTAACAGAAGGGAGGAGATGCAGCAAGTAAGTATGCGTTTAGGACCACCCATTGCGTATTTTTAAACGCGTTGTCGCACCCTTGACGTCACGAAGAATACTCCAGACGGAAGATTCATTAGAATTTTAGTCGCGTACTTAAGCATTAATCACTAAACGACTCATAACTGAAGGAATGTTTCTCTCGTCTACGTGAGCACGAACTTTGTAAATTGTTATCGTCTATTGTTAGTACGCGAATCCGGGACAAAGTGGAACATTCTATTTTGGAAGATTCGAAACAATTAAGGATGAAAAACGAGGTGATGAAGCTCTTTTGTTTTGTCACCTCTTGTATATTTTCTAATGCCATAAGGAAGATGAATTTCGAGCAATTAAGTCAAACAAACGGGTAATGTATGTGCGAACATTTCATTTTCTCCCTCTAATTTTTCATTTTAATTTCTTCTTCTTTCCTGGCCTGTATCGAGTTTCCCACGTTTGTAAAATGCCAAAATTTCCCTCTTTTTCTAAAGAAAATCGAATAAAATATATCTTTATAATTTAATATTTTTTTTTTTTACTCTTTGCAAAACGTTTTCGCCCGCAGGTTGCCTGTAATATTGAAATATTTAGGCTAAAAGAACATGAAAACTAAATCTGGAAAGAATAAATTTAAAAAAATGATACTAAGTAAAAAGCATTATTATCGTCTCTTCCTTCAAGATCTACTAAAATAAAAACATGATCGAATTTAAGATGAGCATAAACAAAGAGGATTCTTGTTAATGTGAATCTTCCTCTTCTTAATGCAGAATAAAAATTAGTCATATTTATATCTCTTGCAGCATAATTCCCACAACATTAATGTAAATAAATTATACGAAACATTGAACTATGATGAGGATATTGCAAAAAAAAAAAAAAGCAGTAACTCATAGTCAAAGCTTAGAAGCAAGCTTAAATTTAATTCAAATGAAAATGTGTTATAGAAAAGCCACATATTTTTGCGATAATCAGCGCAAATAATGGTGTTAAGCGCGTGTTTAACGCTTTGAAATTCCCACGATACCGACCCAACATTATTTATCCAACCTTCACAGCGTAATTACACGAGTACAAACACGGATGGGTGAATAAAGTGATCTGCACAGCCAGAAGAGGGAAGGACAACCAGCAATTAGTCTTGTGTACGACTTTCGGGTCTTACCCCTTCAGAAGAGCACGTAAAAGACTCGCATTGTTTCGTTATTCACAAGAGACCGAACGTTGCCTTCAGCTTTAACCCTTCCAAAGGGAAAAAACAGCCAAATGAACAAATAAACCCGTTTTGGCTTAGAAATAAGGTCGGAGATACGGTGTACTCTTCGCACACAAGAAGCACGATAATAAGGCTAAGTCTATTAGGAATATGCCAGTCATTAAGTGTTGCAGTACACCTGAATACGGTTCCTTTATTGCTATGTAACCTAATTTGTGGGTGGAAAAGTTTTATTTTTACTTTTGTTCTTTGGTCTTCTATGCCCTTCCTAATGGAATTTTCATTTTCGAATCGCATCCATTGTTCGTCGCCTCCTTAAACTCTTACTAAATCGCGTAAAATCATCATTATACGCTTTTCATTCAAAGCTACGACGAATATATTACAAATTGATTAAGAGATGCTTAAATAATTTTATTATATCAAAGAATTAAGAATATTTGCTAAATTCTTCGAATAATAAACTCCATCTTATATGCTGAAAAATTGGATTTCCTGGATTATAACTCGTAAAAGAGTGTAGAAAATTTTATATAAAATTATTTTTCAGAAAGTAAACTTCTCTCTGATAATAAGAGCATCCGATAATACGAAAATAATCCATATAAAGTAGCTATTTTACTAAAAAAAAAGCTTAAAATTAAAGCAGATTTGCCTTAAGATAAGCGGATTTAAACATCGAATGCTGTAGGAAGTATTGTATTATCTATTGTTCTTAATTTCAGCATAAAATTAACACTAAAACTAATTTTACTTTATAGAAAACTTATTCTTTAATTAGAAACTTTTATTTTCTTTACTTTCTAGGAAATTTATCTAATCAACAGCACAAACGTGCCGACGTATTAATAATAGAATTGGAAGCGATAACAATGAGCTTAAAATAAGATAAAATAGTAATTCTGCAAATATATTAATTAACTTAATGCACAACAGCGAAAAAATCGTGAGAATTTAGGATTTTTTTTATCGAATTACGTGACGAATTTTATAGAAATTATTATTATTTTTTTTTATATTAGATTTGATGTTTAAAAATGTCAGCCTCATTCTGTCAACTGAATAACATTCAAAAAATCTGA